TTATTAAAATTATTTAGAATATTGGAGGTCTACCTCCCTGTGGAAAGTGATTCGGATATTCCCACATTACCTCTATCTGTCATAAGAGACGACAAATTGGGTTGCGTCAGATCGACTGCCGGTGTAAAATTCTGTCAAATACTATGAGGAATTCTAAACAAGGCTTAGGTTTTGATGAATTGTCATATTGTGGATGTGTATGGGGACAACAAGTAATAATAGATCCCATGGTGCATGGTGTTTGTAGATGATATAGTTTTGATAAGAGACAATCTGGAAAAAAATAACAATATAGGCTTGAGGAACAAAGAGTATGCTTTGAAGGAAAGGAATTAAGGATAAGTATAAATAAAATAGAGTATGAACTTGGAAGAACAGGACAAGAAAGCTAACGACAAGCGGTTAAAAGTAAGGTTGAGGGTTTTAAGTACTAGGATTTTTTGTACAAAATAACGGTAGCTTTCATGAGAATGTGAAACATAGGATTAAGTGTGGTTGGATAAAGTTGAGAGAAGTGACAGATGTGATAAGAAAATTCCAATGAGAATCAAAATTGAGTTTTACAGAAATTTGGTGAAACTAAGTTGTATGGTTCGAAGTGTTGTGCGGTAGGTAGAAAAATATAACAGATAATGATTGTAGTATAGACGAGAATGCTTAGGTATATGAGTGGAATTACGAGAAATAATAAGATAAGGGATGAGTACATAAGATCAGATAATAGATACAATGAAAGAAAATAGACTGAGATAGTTAGGGTATGTCACATGGAGAGAAGAATCTAAAGTAGTGAGAATTGTAATGATTAATGATAATGAACGTAGAAGGAAAGAGGTATCTAGAGAGGAAGACTGAAAAGGAGGGGGTTGGATGCGATTAAGAATTATAAGAGGATAGTTAGTGTATGCGAGGGGGGAGATCGGGTCAAGTGAGAGTTTAGTACTGAAGGTGGCTAACGTCGAATAGTTGGGTTGAACGTGGAGGTGAAGGTGAAGGAGAAAAAGATCTGTGGTGTACTATAATATAACAGTTATAAAATATATAAATCAGTTATTGCATATATAGTTCCATTTTTTTTCTCCCGGAGTCACTGGATTTTAATTATAGATTCCAATTTATTAAATCGTATACACGTATTACGTATATTCACGTATTTCACGATATTTTACACATATTTTTACGTGAATAACACTAAAACATGTGAACACGATAGAAAATACATGTGTATTAAGTACACGGGAGTACAAATTTTTAATTCCCGTATTTTTTAATTGAAGTTTTCAATCAAGACCTCTAATTTTATAACCCTCTAATTTCCATATAATTAATTCCGAAGGATTGAAAATCACCTGAAAGTATTTTTACCGTGAGAGATTATAAACGTGAAAATTCTTATCTGTATTATTTTTCTGGTTGGACGTCTAAACATAGAATTCTTGAAAAATAAATCATACAGGTTGATAAAATTTAGCCGACGGCTTTGAGAGGCCAGTGTCGCCGTCTGGAAATTTAATTATTATACTATTATATTCATCTACTTTGTCGTTAAAACATAGTTTAAACAGTTAGCACTAGTTCTTGAAAAACAATACGCGTGTCCCGTCCGCATATAGCATACTGCACGTATTGACAAACAAGTGCGTTATCAATTTATAATATCATATTTGGCCATTCGGGATTTTGACTACATCTATTCGCTCGTTAAAAATATAAAAATAAAAAAAAAACTACAAAGCGTAGAGATATAAATGAAATAACTGTATGATATACCTTCCCAACCATTATCTCAATTTTTCACTCACAACAGTACCAACAACGGTTGACAGGTGTTGACCCATCAGCCGTACTAGGTCTTTTTTTTAAATTCTGTAATATTGCTGTGGTCTTTTTTTGTTTCTTTTTTTCCCCTTGGTTTTTTAGTTTGATCTTTTTTTCCGGGATTCGGTTCTCGTATATGGGGATTACGTACTCAGACCGGCACAACACGACGACAACATACGTGCGTCGTACCTATCCATGCCCGAGTTTAATATCGCCATCAAATATTTTTATAAGTCTAAGCGTGAAATTCTCGTTTCTCAACGACCCAGGCTCCTCTAAATGTTTACTGTACGAGTACGCAAGGAGAGAGAGTGAGAGAGAGAGAGAGAGAGAGAAAGATACACACTGCAGTCTCTCTGTATAAACAGATACACTTTTATTTTTCGCGTATTTCTCTGGTGTAGGTGTATGTATCTATATATATTTTCCGTGTGTACGTGTGCCGATGTTAAATTAAATTTTTTGGAGGGTGGGGGGGAAGAGGGATTTCTCCGTTGCGTATACTACTCGCATAACGCGCACGTATAAATATACATATATACACATAAATTCCGTAACTTTCGAACGGCGAAAAACCAAAACGGCGACGCTCGCGGGCAATCGCAAAGATAAACCTTATTTCTGCAGATGCGGCATAGGGACGGGGCAAAAAAGGATTCGTACTCGCAAATCTCCGTATCGCGCGCATGTATAATAATACACCTAACGTTCATATGTATATGTATAGGCGCGTTTTGTATATTATAATAATATTATTACGATGACGTGTGCGTCGTAAAGAACGGATAGTGTTACCGGGCGAGACGATAAATGATAATAGCATAACAACAAAACGTCGTCGTCGTCGTCGTCGCAATTATATTTCGGAACGCACGTGATATTCGTATCTTTAGTACACACCTACCTGTAAGCACTGAGTGTGTGAATTGAGAAAGGAAACGGCAAGCGGAGTTCGCATACGAACGGCGACGATGATCCGCCACTGCCCGGCGCGGCGTATATTATTACGAAAGCACTTATCCTAATTGAACTTAATCCTTTTATAACGTAATTTTCTCGTCGACCAGGTGTAGGTAATTACGACACGTCCGCCTTGTGCACGCCGCCTTTGCAGGCTGCGGGGGTCTTTGCGCTATGTATTATGGGTGCACGATGCAGTGTATATAGAGTTCAGTGTGTTATTCCACTCGAACGACGGTAATACGAAATATTTTAGTCGGACAGACTCGGATTGAAGGGAAATAGTTCGTTAACGACTTTTTTTTAAAGGGGGAAGCGAAACGTTGGGGTACTTAATACTGAAATACACAATATTTCGAGCCTATTTTCAACATTTAATCTTTGCGACTGGAAACGAAATAGACATTTTCTTAAACGGAAAAACATTTTTTTTCTTTTTTTAAGGGCCCATTTTTGTACACCTTCTTCCAAATTGGAATTTTAACATTATTTTCTGTGTGATTGTTTGTTTACGAAATACGGTTGTTTGTGCACAATATTAGTTTAGGAGTTATTCAAGAAACAAATAGGGGGAGGGAGCGCAGAGATGAATCCAGTTTTTAACATCAGACGTTATTCGAAAAATGGACATGGGTCAATCGAACGACAACGAAAATACCGACAGGAAAATTGACTGGCCATAATTTATGAAGTCATACAATTAAATTTTTATTTTAAAAATCGATTACGCAACGATTAATCTTTGCTAATGAAAAACGATTCTGAGCAGAGTTCGGTTATATATGTTCAAAAGGTAGTAATAATTACAATTTCCGTCAAAATTGGTTTTTTTTGGTGTGTACCTCTTTTAATTTTTGGTTGAAGGAGAGTAGTGGTACATTATTAACACGTCGCGTGTCGTACTGTACTGCCACACTAATTATACTCCACCACTCTCCTCCAACCCAAACTTAAAAGTGGAATATCTCGTCAACGGATCAACGGAAATAAAAAATGTCAACACTTAAATTTATTTTAACTAATATTCCATATATTTATGGACTTTTTAATATAGGTTGCCATTTGAAAATTAAAAATAGGCAGTGGTTTTACCCTAAAAAATAAGGGTGATAAAAAATATAAAATTGTGGAGCAGCTTGTTTCCTAAATAGTCGATTGTCCATCTCCCAGATATAATCAGTATACTATTTGACACAATATTTTTCTTATTAATTATTAATATTAAATTTAATTATTTTGCTCCTCTCCCCCATATCCATAGTCTGGAGATGCCTTTGCTATGCCCGTAACCTCACCGGACCGTAATCATAACATTGGTGTCGTTTTTGGATGAATAAACCTTTTCAAAAAATCCGACAAAACAATTTTCGAATATATAGCCCGAAGTGGTGATACGGATCTCTTGGGTGTCGCCAGACGCGCGATGTCCGCGTACCTATTACTGAAAATCTTTTTGTAGTTTTTCAATTTATTATGGTTTCCTCTATACAATATTTTCATCCACGCGAATGTTTTCGTATTGTATATTAATTTCCTCGGGGATTTTGTGCAGGGTTTTTATTTTTTTTTTTTTATATTTTTCTTCGGCGTTTCACCTCTCCACTACTAAAATAGTCCGCTGTATACGCTGTCGTCGAGACGGACCAGTTGGGAAGGATTGTTTAAATCACTGAAGAACGATTGTGCTCAATTTGCGCAATTGTGTATATTTTAATAGCCATTAAAGTACATACATGATTGCGCAAATTTCTTATATATATATTCACGTTTCCGTAAAATTTTGAACGTAACATTGTTATGTTTAAATAAATATATTACTATAACATATAACATATATTACAAACCGCATTCTATGTGTTCAAATCTTAAACGATATATTTTTGAAGGTAATTGTCAAAAACGATATGGCAAAAACCAACAACGTAAAAAACGTCAAATTATCGTTATCTTTTAATGAATTATATTTTCTATATTTGTTTTAATATACTTAAAAATGAAGTATACAAAGTTTTAGGAGAATTGGACAAAATTAACCTGTACCACAAAAGGGTTGAAGTTGCATGTTCCTATATTTTTAGAAAATAACATAATTTTATATGTTTTCCAAGCACAACTCAAGAAATAATAATAATTTAAGAATAATTCAATCAAAAATGTATAGGTAAAAATGTAATTTGTTTGAAAGAACATTTCGCATAGTTTGTATTTTATATTAGTTTTCATAAAACTAATACATGTATGTTTTCTTCAGAAAAGCACTCTGTGTCCAAATTATTTTCATTTACTATTTCTGTTTCGTCGTTTACCGAAGCCTTGAATCCAGCGTGGTGGAAACAGTTTCTTATTGTAGTGGTAGAAATATCATTCCATGCATCGGAAATCATTAAAATTGCATCTAATACTGAAATTTTAATATCTTTTCCCTGTTCCTTTTGATTAATAATTTTGAGTACTAGTTTTTTCCGAAATTTCACTTTTAATGCTTTAATAATACCTTGATCCAAAGGTTGTAACACAGAGGTCGTGTTTGGAGGGAGAAAAACCAACTTTATAAATTCAGTTTGAACAGGAGGACGAGCCGGACAATTATCTACAGTCAACAGGATATGTCGTTTTTCCTTTGCTAGTTGCTTATCCCATTCTATTAACCAGTCGGTCATTGGAAACACCACTTTCTAAACGTTCAATTATTTTCACTTTTTCAGCAATAGTGAAACAGCGTCTTCTTTTATTTGACATTTTTAACTTATTCGGATCGTGTCTAAACGGATAGCAATCAAAACGGCAACTAAACGACTAAGAAACGTAGGTATTCTGTATACAATACGGTCGTACTAGACACGTTATCTGTTACAGATAAGATTAAGAATTATCGATTTGGACGAAATCAAATTTACTACACAATGTACAATGTAAATGCATATTATTAATCGCTATGGGTGATTATAAAAACCAATTTTCGTTTTAAAATAACATCGCTATATCCGGATTATCGTTATAACCGATATCGTTATATACGAATAAAAGTATTATACATAACANTTCCATAAAGATTAGAAAAAACAGAAATCAAATTCACTTAAAATCCTCTGGGATAATTGCTGGTTATAACAATTTATGTTATACATATTGTTAATTCAATTAATATGCTATAATATACAGTCAAATTCGCTTATAACGATCTTCTAGGGACCTAGGGAATCTGATCGTTATAACCGAACTTCGTTATATCCGGATCATAAAAAGTAACATGATTTTTTTGAAAAATTGATTTATTAAACATATTTTTGTCAAAACGGCAACTAAACGACTAAGAAACGTAGGTATTCTGTATACAATACGGTCGTACAAGACACATTATCTGTTACAGATAAGATTAAGAATTATCGATTTGGACGAAATCAAATTTACTACACAATGTACAATGTAAATGCATATTATTAATCGCTATGGGTGATTATAAAAACCAATTTTCGTTTTAAAATAACATCGCTATATCCGGATTATCGTTATAACCGATATCGTTATATACGAATAGTATTATACATAACATATAAAACCAACCAAATACATTGATTGGAATCGTTTTACCCGGAATATCGTTATATACGGCATCGTTATACGCGAATTTGACTGTATTTATTTAGAAAATAGTATTTAAATATAATTATTGTAAATAATGCAAAAATAAAACAAATAATAATTGCCGTAGTTGGTTACAGTCTTATTTCAGTCGAGAAACAATTTCTCATGTCAAAAAGTACATATTTAAGAAAACATTAGACTGTTGGTAAAATATTCGGAGATATAATACGGTAATGTTATTTATAACATAGGATATTACCGATATAAAGAGTTAAATAGTTAGAAAAAGTTAATAAATTAATTATAAATAGAACATCAATTAGAAATACACGTTTACGTTTTTGAAAATAGAGCGCAGAAAATATACATAAAGAATATAAACTTTCAATTGATGGTGCAGTTATTCTTCACTGGGGTGGAAAGCTTTTACCTGCATTAACAGGAAAAAAGAACTGTTGATAGACTTCCCATCGTACCTAGTTTCTTGTACACGACATTAAGTCTACACGTTTTCGTAAATTTTGTGCAGTCGTGTTGTTGCTGGTCAAATGACACAGGAAACTGACAGAGAAAAAAAAATGTAAATACTAACAGATAGATAGATTTATGCCTTTTAATGTGTGTCGATTTCTATGTAGGTTAAATATCATACGCATAATGTATCAAAACACGTGAAATTCAATACACATATCCGATATGTTTTTTTTTTTATTATCATTAAAATATGCGTAAAAAAGCATACGTCAACTGCAACGACGACTGATTACGTATATAAAAAAAAATTATGTGTAAAGCTTTCGGGTATTTTTTTTTTTTACAGGTACCACGTATAATAATAATATATTATATTATGTAAAACGATCAGACAGGCGCGCCGAGTGTCGTGATCATCGTATTATAATATTGATTTATGCGTACGAAAATCGATTCCTAAAAAAAGAATTAAAAAAAATAAAAATGTACATAATATTATAAATCTACCTAGGTATATATATAATGCGGAAATATGTAAAAAAAAAAAAAAATTATTATGTAGATGTACACGAGCACAATAATATACGGCAGACGAGCGTTATTATTGGCGTTATACGGAAATCAGAGCTCGTCGCGATTGCCGGGAGATTATAATAATAATGATAAAATATTAACATTTTTAATGACAAAGAATATTCGAAATGCGAGTACAATCAATCATTGTCGGACGACGACGGCGACTAGAATCCGCAGATAATACGTCCAATAATAATACACCCGATATAATCCGGAACCCGATAATTATGTCGATTATTACTATTATTATTATTATACAGAGTGAGTGATCGAAAAGTCGCGAAAAAAAAGTTTCTGTTTAACGGTAGCTTTATTAAATTACATGTATTTATTAGTACGTATTACAAAATAATATTTGAAATTAATTTATACACGCAGCGGTTCATTAATGCTTGCACCACGTTTTGTCTGGAACTGATCCGGATTACCGGAAACGGGCGATTACTCTCGTTATGGTTGAATTGTTAGGTAGGTACTGTTATGTCCGGATATTTCACTAGGAATTCGTCAACAACACAACCCGTAAGAACGACTGGCAAAATACTGTTCAACAATAAGCGCACGTTGCTCATAGGAAAACAACATGTTCACCGAAAAAATATGATCCAAACACTAGTGCAAGTGTGCCGTGTCATCAGTACGTATCACAATGACGTCTATGTTTATCGCCAGGAATACCTGTTGTGTTATTTTGCAGAAGCCGATAAAAATAATAATTCAATAAAACTACCATTAATAAACGCATATTTTATTTAGATGTGCGTGACTTTTCGATCGCTCTGTATTATCGTAAGTATTGCAGCTCTGCAGCTGCGGGGGACGATCGTTTATTATTTCCATCGGTTCGAGCCATCAACGGTTCTGATTATCAATTCGGAAGGGAAAATGCCGTAATATAATTATACGCACCGTTTTATAAATAATACGACGTGACCAAAGTACGATAAAACTTTCACACTTTCGTGGCGATTTTCGATTTTCGAATCGCGAAATTTGGAAATCAGTTCGCGAAATCACGTAAATTATCCGGAAAATTACTATGATGTCGCTATAGATAATTAGTTCACATTTCCAGGCTGGTGAAATGCCACTCTAATGGGTAATTCATTTTTGTAGATACTTTTTCCAAAAATATAATTTTATCGCGTAATCTTTAATATCATACAAAATAAGCATTCTTTACATTTATTTTTTAAAAATTATTTTTTTCAAATGTTGGTCGTAATTATAACAGAATAAACGAATTCGAACAAATTCATCTGCAGGACAAAACAAAACTCTTTTGTATACAAGATAAATATATAGACGTATACATTTATTCAGAAAGTATACAACGCTACTGTATGCGATTGCTATTGTATTATAGTCATCAGAAGTGGTAATTTTGACGGCTAGTGAATAATATTATACGAGTACGGTATAATAATATTATATCGTATCTATATATGTGTATTATATTATATTATACAGCAGTGTTTGTAGAATCAATCGGTTCCATTAGTTCGAATATATTACCTATATTAAACCTGTCATTAATTACATCGTCTCCGGTCATTCTCGAAACGATTGTTCCATTTGGAATAATTTAAACTGTGTAGAATTTATAATAAAATAATAATGTTAAAATGTTATCTATACGTATATAGATTTTGAAACGGTCACCGCGTGGAGGGTGATTCGCCATATAATTAGATATATTATTGAATACGCTCGACACCGGTGCAGTATTATTAGTGAATCCGTTTTTCGGCCATTTTCACGGTAAGCAAACTGCGCCCGTACGCACACTATTTCGTTTATAATATACTATAGTCGGAAGAACACTATATACTAATACACTAATAGGCCAATGTGCTAGATATGTTGTAACTTACACCGTAGCCCGTGGGCTGAAAATTAAATCTAATCATTTTGGGTATTATTTAATTGAATTCTAACCCGTGAGGTATGACAAATTATTGTCAGGTAACCAATAAATCAAACCAACCGGCAGCCACTAACTTTGATATTACTAATTACTGTCTTGGGTTCGAGGTTTATCGCAATAGTGATAATATTATATTTTTAACACTTTTAGTGATGTAATAATTTATTATAAAAAAATATCGGTTCATTTTTTATGGTTATCAATGATATATATTGTATATTGATGAGATATACAATAATGTTTTTGTGAAACAAAGGTAGTAAACAATATGATTTTTAATGAATAGATACCTATATTTTATATTCACTAACTTACTTGTACAGAGGGAGGATATCAGGCCCACTTAAGGAATAACGGCCGTTTTTTTTATGGTACACCATGTTAAAAAAATTTTGCGTTAGCCTATGATGCAGATATTGTTGTACAGTGTCGTGATGAAATCAACATTTTATACACTGATAAAACACTAAAAAAAAACTGCGAGATCCCACGCCATTTCGCGACCGACCCACGATAATTCTACATTTTTATTCAGGCTTGTCGTCATTGAAACGAAAACATTTTCCATAGGTACTAAATTTACGATTTTGAGGTTTTGTAGGTATTCATGGATTCTGAAAAAAGTAAACTCATGTACTATGAAATGTCCTATATATTATGTAGGTATTTTTTATGAAATAAATAAAAAACAATAAAAAACCACCAGTGAACATTGAACAGTAGAGCCAACTAGAGCATTATAGTCGAATTTTTACTCATTTATTTTATACAACAGAAGTATTCTTTGTAAAGTAATAGACAACCGAATACTAATATAATAATATAATAATAGACTATACTACTTCCAAAATTGTGATGCAATTTGATCATAAAAATGGTAGGAATATAGGTTGAATGTAAAATCCCCAAAAAGGCACATACACTTGATACTAATGTCAAGTAGCCAAGCGTTTACAAAATTTCATCCCATTTTTAGATTCAAGAGGTTTGTTCGAAGTTAAAAAATTTCCCTCCAACTGCAATAACATGGTTAAACTCATATTAAAATACCTCTCTAATTTTATTAATTCAACCCACCCAATAACAGTAAGTTGAAAT